TGTGCCTTGTCTTGTCCCAGTCACAAGGTACCCATGGCGTTTCGTGATTCGGTCTGCGCTGTGTTTCTCCCACTGTATAATGTCCGTGCCCCACTTCCTGCCTCTGTATAATGTCAGTGCCCCACTTCCCGCCTCTGTATAATGTCAGTGCCCCACTTCCCGCCTCTTTCTTCCGTATACTGCATGTTCTCGCCTCCCTTACCTCTCCCTTCCCATCTCACTCCCCCTTCGCCAGCACTGCTGGCGCTCAAGTCATCACTGGGAGTGACCTTCTCCTCATGGGAAGCAACTGTGCCGTGCCAAGTGGTTGGCAAGCAGACTACACGGCCTGCAGCCATGTGGTCCAGCGTGCTCTGCAGTGATACCGGGGACGTGTTTTCCATGTGAGAACCCATGCATGCATGCTATAGTTTTGTGGGAGGGAAGAAGGGGCTCAGACAGGTATCTAGCTGTCCTCTCTCAACTCCTTCTACACCAATTTCTGTGCCTCTTCCTATCAACCCCCCTCAGCTTGTTGCCGCGTCAGAATCTAACGGGGTCTATTCATTTAGACATCTCCAAGCTCACCGCGCTCACTTACCTGTAAGGGTGAACCAGGGGGCACACACACAATAACTAGTGACACACGTACGTACAGACAGGCTGATTGCATAGCAAAGGGAATGCCTAGTCGCCGAGTCGAGTGCCCGTGTGCCACACACCAAGGACAGGGAGTTTCTGGATCTGCAATTGAAGACCACCCTGCTGCTGCTGGGAGCACCAGTCGTTTTGGGCGAGTGAGGGATATGGGAAGGGACACGGACGGACCAATTTTTTTCTCTCATCACACGTCATGATGAACGACCGTCCTTCACCCCCCAGTCATGAGTGTCCTTCTCTCCAACCCATCGTGTGACCTGCCTACATCACAACTCTTCCCTTCCAGATATGCGCTTCACATTCTTGCCTCTCCCCCACGTGCTTTAGGGATTTCGGCTACAACCTTTTTCAGTTTAGTCTCGACGGGTTTGCCACACCAATCAAAGGCGTGACCACGCTAAAGGCGCTGTAAGTACCTTCTACTCTGTAAGCGCTGTATAATTTCTCCCAGGATTGCTAATGTGTAGTCGAGCCAAGCCGACTGCAGAGGCAAGCCAAGCGAGAAATCTTGTATTACCATGTAATCCTTTCTCTGACTGTTGTTAAAATGGATTCCTGCTTCTAGTTTTCTTCTCTTTCAGACACCTAGTGTAAGGTGTGTAATTCTTCCTCTGGCCGTTCTCAACAAGCATTCTATGTGGACCTCTCATTCTCTTCTCTTGCGCTGCATTCCTGCTTCTACCCCCAGCTTCTTCAACAACAATTGGTTTTCGGGATCCATTCCCTCCTTCATCGCCTCCCTGCCACAGCTTACCACCCTGTAAGCCAAACACACAGCTTCTAAGATCCGCAGATGCATGCAGGAGTATCGTTGCGTCCTTACCGAATTTACTGTAAACTCGCTTTACTGTAAACTCTCTCACATCTCAATTACATACTTGTTAATTGATTCTGCTCTGCATGTCCCTACTAGGCTCCTGTTTACATGTACAGTGCGAGAAAGCGGCACAACAAATCTATCCTATCATATCAGCACCGCTCATGAGTGGGATGACCCACACTCTTTGCATTTCGATCTGTGCTTTCTCGATCATGCTTTGGCTAGAAATGTTTCAATTTATCCCGCCCATTTGTACACGTAATCTTGCCTACAGGAACTTGAACTTGTTGGCACTGAAGGGGTCGAGCCTGCCTGTTGACCTGTCCAAGCTCAGTGCTCTCTCAATGCTGTCATTCTCTCTCTCAAACTGTCCTGTCAACGCTGTCTCTCTCTCTCTCTCTCTCTCTCTCTCTCTCTCTCTCTCTCTCTCTCTCTCTCTCTCTCTCTCTCTCTCTCTCTCTCTCTCTCTCTCTCGAATGGTCCGTGCATTAAATAAGGGGTGGTACAAAGGAAGATGCAAACATGCATGCTAACGAACTAACACCCAAACCAGAAACCTAACCACCTCCAGACCCCTACCTACTCAGGCCCCCCCCTAAGCCCGACCCTACTGGTCGGACGGGGCCTCAATCAGCTGGTGAAGCTGCCCCTCACTAAGGGGAATGATGGGACCCCGGAAGCCAAGCTCGTCTGCAGCCAAGGCCTCGTTGGTCTTGGTGCGGAGCGCATTGGCTTGCGCCCGCTGGAGGCACACACTCCAGCGCTGGCGGTATTCTGTCAGCAGCTTCGCTGCTTTGTACGAGGTAGGAGCCGCGTTAAACCGCAGCTTCGCCGCCAGCTCTGCGCATTGCTGAAGGTAAGCCATCACCCCGGGCGAGGGGTAGCCGTAAGTTTCCACCGCAAGCGCGTGGAACCCCACCCACGCATTCCTGCGGGCGTACTTCTCCTCTTTCCTTGCTGCCGCTGCCCTAGCCGCCCATCTAGGAGCTCGGTTGCAGTTCTCGTCCTTGTAAGACACCGGGTCCGTTACGGTTACGTCGCACATCCAAACCTCTCTACCTTTAGATTTTCAACCTGAGAGTAGATGTATGTCTCCTTGTGTACCGTAAAGCCCGCCTCCGCCCCTATGCATGCTATCTCATTCCGGAGGGCGTGATGAGTAGCAGTCCTCCCTTTCCCCTTCTCGCAGCGCATGAGGTGGTTGGGGAGGCGATCATCGGGGAAGGTGGTGCGGTAGCGACAGTCACACCGTCTAGGCACGGGGAGGGGGAGGCCTAGGCGGAAGGCAGCCGCAGTTGAGAGCTGGGACGGGCCCATCCGAAGCGAGGGGATGAGGGGGATCGCCAGCAGCCAGTCCCCTGCGCCTGGGCCGATCACCGACTGCATACATTGCGCGTGGCCCGAGAGGGGGTTGGAGCGCATCCGCCTTGCTTCGCGCATAACCCTCAGGAAGCGGCGGGAGTGAACCGCCAGTGCCAGATTCTGCTGCAGCTTCAGTCCCTTCGGGTCCGCCTTCCCGGCCTGGAGTGCTTCAAGAGCTTCTGGGGGGAGGGCCGCCTCCGCCGCGGCGAGGCGTGCTGGCAGCGCGTGCTGGGAGCCGTGGGCCGGGTCCAGAAGCGGGAGGAGTGCAGCGACAGCAGGGTGCAGTGAATCTACCAGGGAGCGTAGGAGGTGCGCTGCGCTGACCACCGAGGCGAGGTAGGCGTAGCTGCCTTCGACGGCGGGGTCAATGATGCCGAGGCCCCCCAGTGTCACCGGCAAGGCTGCCTGCCGCCATATCCGGCGTCTCTCCCTGGCGCTCCTCGGGGTCATGATGTGGGCCGAGTCCAGGAAGGTGAGAAGCAGCTGTTCTCCCCACGCGGACCATTCCGCCTCGGGCAGCGCCTCCAGGGGGGTGGTTCTGGCCAGGAAGGAGGCGCGGCGGCTGACGCAGCGGGTGAGTAGGAGGAGGCTAAGCTGGGGGTCCATCTGGGCCAGCAGGGGGAGTGGTGTTGCTGCTGCCGCTAGCCGATCTCTCACCGCGCCAGCGCAGCCCTGGGGGGTGCCGACAGGGCTGCCAAGGATCTGCAACCCCTCCTCGGAAATCGTGATGCCGCGAGGTACGGATGAGGGGTCGATAGCTGCAGCGGACCACGCCGCGCACTTGGCCGGATTGTGTACCAGGCCGAGGGCGGCCAGTGCGCTTGTGAGGTGCTCAAATGCTGCTGTGCAGGCCGTGGCGTCACCGAGCAGCGTGATGTCATCGGCGTATGCCAGCAGCACCACATGAGGATGTGCAGCCGCCGTGTCAACAAGGCACGGGTTGATACTCGCCGCGAAGAGAAGGGGACCGAGCGGATCCCCTTGGCGGACTCCTCTGGCGCTCTGCAGAGGGGCGGCGCCAAAGTCGTGGTCGAGGTAGAGTGAAGAGGGAGCGCCATAGGAGAGGCGGACGAGGGGGATCAGGTCTTCCAGTGCCTCGTTTTTAAGTCCCTCAAACACCGCTCTCCTTTCGACCGCGTTGAACGCGTTCGCAAGGTCGATCTGCAATGCTACTACGTCAGGATGGACTTCCAGGTATGTACGCGCCGTGTGGATGGCGGCTTCAATCCCCCCCGCTACTGCTACGCCGAATTGAAGGGGGGCGAAGTGAGTATGGGCGGCCGGCGCGGTAAGGAACAGCGCTGCTTTGGCGATAATCCGAAGGAGGCATTCTCCTACCGCAATCGGCCGCGTCCCTCCCTGCGGCTTCGAAAAGGCTAGTAGGCGGGAGGCGGTTAGGAGTTCTCCCGCGACTGCTGGGAGTCTTCCTGCTAGAGCCGTGTTAGAGAGGGCGAGGAGGTGGTTGAATACCTCAGCGTTCCCTAGTGCAGCGTCACGGATGTGTTCGAAGGTGGTTCCTGAGGGGCCAGCCCCTACTCCATTGGGGAGCTTGGCGAGTCGCCTGAAGTCGCGAGCTTCGATTGCGGGGGGATTCTCCGCTGTGGCAGTGTGGAGCCAATCAGGCAGCGATTGGCAGGCAGGTGGGTGTCTTGCCGTGAGGGCTTCCAGTATTTCGGGTGAGGCGGGTGACACTGGAGTCGCTTGGAGGGATTGAAGTGATTTTGACAGGTTACCACGCTTCGCCAGTCCTTCCGCCCTTGCCAGTATCCCAGTAGTGTCAGGTGCGTGGCGGGGCTGAGGTGGCAGGGAAATCGCTTCGACAGCCTCTTCGTGTAGGCCGGCCCAGAGCCCTTGGCGAAATCGCAGAAGCCGGTTCATCATCGCGCTCCAGTCAGGCTTACGGGCTGACGAGGTGCGAAGGAGTATGCGCGGGAGAAAAGTCAGCAACTTCCACCCTGGCGTGGACTCTGGATTGGCTGCCAGATGGAGTAATGGTGTCAGCAGGCATATCGCGAAGGAGTCGCGAAGGTCTTTTGGGGGGTGGCGAGCGAGTGGTGGCTGGCGACTGTCGCGTAGTGGGTTGAGGTCCCAATCTGCAACCAGCGCGAACAGGTCAGAATTCTTTGCCAGGTCGTCAGGTTTGACCATCGGGGGCGTTGGATTTGGGGCTGGTGAGTTCCTATTGGCTGCTGTGGTGTTGACTCTGTTCTCTGGCGCGGCCCGATTTCCCCCCCCTCGCTGGATCTCCCCTCGCGGCTCGATTTCGAGTTGTGGTTTGGTTTGCAGGTTCGCCGCGGGCCTGCGGGTTTGGGAATTCTGCTCCTTGGAGCAGAAGCTCCAACTCCTCCTCGTCTTCCTCAGCCTCTGCTTCCGAAATCCCCTCCCTTTCGGGGTTAAAAGCAGGGTCACCCCCGTCACTCTCAACATTCTCGTCTTCCTCCTCCGTTTCCTCGACTTGCGCCTCCTCGCCGCCTTCCGCCCCTTCCCGCAGTAGGCCTTCTGCCCTTCTCGCGTAGCGGCTTGCTCTGCTGCCGCGCTGGTTTGTGCCGCGTGCTCCTCGGCCTCGTCGACCTCCCGCAGTCCCGCGTCGTCCGCGGCGGGTGCTGCCGCGGCCCACGCGGATTCCCCGTGGTGCTCTTCCTCCCGCAGCTCCCGTGTGGCCTGTTAGGGATAAGGCGTCACTATCGTCGTCATTGGGACGGCGCGCTGGCGTCGGCGGCGATCGCGTCTGGGGTGATGGATCCGTCCGGGGGGCGCGATCCTGAGCTTGAGGGTTCGGCGGAAAGCGCGCTGCCGGAGCCGGCGCCTGCAGCTCGTCCGCAGACCTCTGCGCGCCCCTCCGCAAGTGAGCCCGTCCGCAGCTTCGAGCGTGGGCTGACTCTCCCTCTTCGGCCTGCCCCGCGACCCACCTCGCCGGAGTACTCGTGGGCTCCCGCGCGCGTTGGATCGAATCTCCCTGCTGGTCAGCCGCGTCAGGAGCAGGGACGCTCCCCGCAACGTCAACCTCCGCGGCAGCAATCTCCTCGCCGCCCATCTCCAGAGCACCGCGATCTTCACCAACGAGAGGAGGGCGGGCACCGCTCCCCAGAGCGTCCTCGGTCTCCTCGGCACCCGTCCCCTCGTGGTCGAGCAACCCAGCGCTCACCGCGAGCGCGATCCCCCGCGCAGCGCTCTCCGAGGCCATCTCCGGCGAGGCGGGGCAGGGGGTCGCCTGGGCGTCGTTGGGCCATCTCCGGCGAGCAGATTTGATGGCAGCAAGCCATGTGTCATAAGCGTGAGTGAGTGAGTGTCATTAATCAGGCCACCAACTCCCCTGCTATGCACTCTGCAGATCACTGAGTTACAACTATTTCTATGGTACGGTCCCTTCATTCCTCGTGAGCCTCCCAACACTCACATCGCTGTAAGTAACACAGTGCGATAAATTTCATACCCCTTTCCTTCTCTTGACCGTGCTTGCCGCTACCTCTCCCCTCTCACGTACTCGGCTTCTCATCACAATCCCTTTCTCCCACCCACTATCCTCTCCTCAGGAATCTAAATTTCAACTACCTGACTGGTAGTGTTCCAGCTGTTGGGACAGTCTTGAAGGAGCTCTACATCAAAGGCAACTACATTTCCAGCATCTTCACAAATACACTCACCATTTGCAGCGGCGATTTATGCTGCCTCTCCGATCCCTCCACGTGCACCACTACTGGGACCACCCAGCGAACCGCTGCTGAGTGCTCCGTCTGTAGCCTTAACAATGGCATTGGCCCGCTGTGCTGGGGTGCCGGTGGAGACTGTGTGGTTGCTGCTGCGTCTAACATTGCAGCCGGCACACTGAATACACCAGCGCTGAGCCCTGTCCCGCCCATGCTCTGCTCAGGTAACGTGGCTTAACCCTGCATGTGGGTTCCACACTCTCCTTAGCCGCCTAACCTTAGCATTGGTGCAGCAGGCCAGGGTGTGACTGGGACTGAGAGGTTTAAACTCCCTTCAATTTTGAATGGTGGGTGTGTTATGTTAGGTTTCCTTACTGATGCACCCTTCTGCTCTTCCTACTTGTGCTGCTGCTGCAGCCGCTGCCGCCTCCTTCGCTACCGCTGCTGCTGCTGATGATGTTTCACCCACCCGCCTAGATTCTATTTGGCCCAAACTCCCTTTGCTTTACTCCTGCAGGCGGTCAACTTACTACCATGTCATCTACCGCTGTTGGAGGTGTGTGCCTTGATTTGTCACAGTTACGAAGTATCCATGCCTATTCAAATGCAGCGTGCGTTGTGTCTTCTCCCAATCTATGATCCCACTTCCCCACTTCCTGCGTCGCTCTTCTGTGTGCTGCATGCCCTGGCCTCCCTTAACTTCCCCTCTTCACCCCCCTCTACTGTCGCCAGTAATGCTGATGCTGAAGGCAACGCTGGGCTTGAATGCCTTAACGTGGGCAGCAACTACGCCGTGCCAAGTGGCTGGAAAGCCGGTTCCTGCAGGGCCGCTTTCGTGGTCCGGCGTGCTCTGTGGCCATAACGGGGACGTGGTTTCAATGTGAGCACCCATGCATGCATGGTAAAGCTTTTTGGGAGGGAAGAAGGGGATCAGACAGGTAACTAACCGGCCTGTATCAACTCCTTGAAGACACATCCCTCTGCCACTTCCCATTCCCCCCCCCCCTCCCCCCCTCAGTTCGTTATCGCGTCAGTTTTTATCGGGGTCTATACACTCGGACATCACCAAGCTCACTGCGCTCACTTACCTGTAAGGGCGAACACCTCATTGCGAAGAGAATGGTCAAGTGCCCGTGTGCCACACACGAAGGACACGAAGTTTCTGGTTCTGCGATTGAAGGCCACCCTGCTGCCGCTGGCGGCTGGCCCATGAGGTGAGAGGAGTCGTCCAGAGAGGTGAACGGCTGATTATGCATGCATGCGTGCATGCTGCTGATGTGAAGTTCGCAACAAGTGTCTCCCTCTCCAACCCATCCTGCGACCTGCCTCCGGCACAATCCTTCCTTTCCAGACTTGTGCTTCACAAAATTTCTCCCCCTCACCTGCTTTAGGGATTTCGGCTACAACCTTTTTCAGTCTACTCTGGTTGGGCTTGCCACACCCATCAAAAGCGTGACCTGTAAGCCAAACACACAGATTCTGGGATCCGCAGATACATGCAGTAGCCTCGTTCCTAATCTTGCCTGGAAGTAGCTCGCTTATCCCCTTCTCTCTCACGTCTCAATTTCGTCTCACTCGTATGCCTCCTCTATCTGTGCTGCTTCATCTTCCGTTTCCTGTGCTTGCCTCTCCAAACCCCCCTATACCTTCCGCCACCAGAGGCCTCTCCTCCAACTACCTCACGGGCACCATACCTCCCCTCCCTGCCTCCCTGCTCTCTTTGGACGTGGCCTTCAACTTCCTCTCGGGCTCCTTCCCCCAGCTCTCTCTCTCTTACTGTACAGCCAACCAGAACTGCTTCCTCAACTCCTCCAACTGCCGCACCTACAGCTCGCTGCAGCGCCCCGCCACTGCCTGCGCCATCTGCGGCACGACTGACGGGCAGGGAGCGCTGTGCGGTAGTGGACTCTGTGCCCCCAGAAGCTCTGTGTATGCAGGCAATGGGACTATCAACGTCCCCTCGCTGCCGCCGGTTTCCATGGCCTGCCAGGGTGCGTGTCGCTTGTCGATTGGCAGGAAGGAGAGGAGACCCGCATACCATAAAAACTGTGCCATGTGATGAGCAGGCTGAAGAATTTGATATGATGTGGCCAGGCATGTGGGGAACATCTACCATTGAAATAGGAATGGAACGGCCACCATCTAAATGTCCTTTGAACATAATTCTCCCAATGATGTACTTGAATTTGCTGCAGCTATTTTCCACCTGAATTCTGTCTTGTGTTCTGTTTGTTCGTGCCTTAAGCTGTTGCCTGTGTGTGCCTGTGCAGGGAATGCTCCTCTCGTCCTCATGAACGCTGCCTCAGGTGGGCCTTTCCTCCCTCCTAACGCCATTACCCCTGCCTCTCCCTTTCATTTCCTGCACTCCCATTTATTCCCTCTCGAATCTCATTGTCTCCTACTCTACACCCGTGCATAAGCTTCCTCACCCACACCTCCTCCTTCAACCCCTCCCAAAATCGTGCATACTTCGTCCTCTTCTGCCTTTCTCTTTCCCCCCTGATTATCTCCATCCAGTGTCCGCGATGCTATCCATCAAGTCATACTTTGGCTTGACATACACAGACTGGACCGCCTCCACTCTCTGTGTGGTGGGTACTTCACCTGTCCAGAGTGGAATCACCAGCACCTGGACTCGTGTTGATTGCTCCGCTGACGGATCGCCTGCAACAGCGTAAGTGCTTCAAGAACGCCCGTCTGTGTGAGTTTAAGTCTGAAAGCGTTTCAAGCACAGACGAGGCATACGAATAGGTCAGCTCACTCTTTGCGCTTCATCCATCCAAGTAGACATGTGCAATGTACCGAGTCGAGTTTTACTCGACTCGGTCTGGGCCAAAACTCGACCGAGTTCGAGTTCGAGTCGGGTGAAACCCGGTCGAGTTTTTTTGCCAAGGTTCTGGACTCGAGACTCGGCTGTTTAAGGCGAGTTTTTAAAAACTCGACCGGGGCATTTCATACACTCGACCGAGGCCTAGTAAAACTCGAATCGGGGGGAGGGGGGGGAGGGGATACATCATATAAAAGCTGGAAGTGAGGCTTCCAGCTGTGCATGGTTTTTTGTTGTATATCACGAAGCAATAGCACGAAGCCTGCGACGCCCAGTAGCAGTCTCCACCTGGTCCTCCTCCTCCACCCCTCCCGCATGATCGCCACGGTGGGTTCCTCCCACCCCCCCTTTTCCGCCCTTGGGGTTCTTACTTGTAAGCTGCTTGAACTTCGCCATGCTAAATCTGTAGGTCGCCCGTTAAATTAATAAATAGTAGCGGTTCATCCTCCTCAAACCCTAATTGAAACCAGCCATGCGATAAATCGCGTCACTAACTATGTGTGAACCTAGAACTACGTTGCCCCTATGACGATCGTAAGTTTAAGAAGAGAAAACAGCCGTGCGTTTGGCTGGTTAGGCACTGGGAACTACGGACGACTTGTTGGGGAAGGGGTCTAACTGAAATCGCGATCTGAAAATGGACCCGCCAGATTTCAAATTTCGAAATTTGTATGCCACCCCAATGTCGCGACGTGTTTTTTCATAAACTCGTCGAGTCCAAAAAAACTCGTCGAGTCTAGAAAAAACTCGCCTTGAGGGCCGAGCCTAGACCGAGTTTTTTGAAACTCGGCGGGTAAAACTCGACTTGGCCCTGTCGAGTTTTTTCAAAGGGTAATCACACTCGACACTCGACCAGTACCGAGTCCCCCGATCGAGTCAAGTTTGGAAACTTGACTCTTTGCCCATGTCTACATCCAAGCATCCAACAATCCATCTATCCATCCATATGACAGTTTCTCCCACTGCTCGCTCCCTATCCGTTCTACTACATGCACCTGTCTGCAGGCGGCTTGGGTTCAGTTTTTCAAGGCCACCAGCCTGCCTGCTGACATGTCCAAGCTGACTGCCCTCACAACTCTGTCAGTCCCTCTTTTTCTCCCACTAACCCTCTTGTCTCTCTCTCCCCTTCCACGAACATGCAAGTATTTCTTTGTACTGTTTCTATGCCTCTGCTGCCTTGCCACATGATGCCATGCCACGTCATGCCATGTGTTGCCATGCCATGTCAAGCGTGTACAGCATGTGTTGCCATGCGCCTGCCCTCCATCAGTGATTTTTCAGTTAATCTTTTCACCGGCCGCTTGGAAGACTTTGCTTCCAGCATCAAGGGGTTGACATCTCTACAATACTTGTGAGCAATACAGAGCATTTGGTCAGCAGCGAGCAGTCACGAGCATGCGAGCTTGTGATGTGAATACCGTAAAACGAGCAACATGGCTGGTGAAGGGATAAGAATCATGAGTTCATGCAATTGGCTGCAAAAGCAGCAAAATTAGCTTCATCAAAAGAGCGATTTCATGTCCTGGCATATTGATTACACGTCTTAACAAGCAGAACTCTTGCCGCATAGTTAAAGAGATGCATATGAACATACTTAGACATGGGCATTTGACCCGACCCGTCCCGACCCGTCCCGTCAAGGTCGACCCGCGACGGGTTCGGGTCGGGTCGGGTCGGGTTGGCGGGTCAAGATAGGCCAAATTTAGGGTACCCGACCCGCCATAGGGAGGACGGGTTGTGAAAATTGGAACGAGAATGAATGCATTGAGCAGCATGAGGAGTACAAGTACCAAACCCTAGAATGTTGTACCCCATATGAGCTACCCCACTACAGCCTACACAGACTATAGTGTATAAGTTTGACACACCCCCATAGGCAAAGTGGGAGAGAACAAGGGGTCACAAGACCAGTCAAGCAAAGCAAGGCAAAGCAAGCTCAGGGTGGATCACAACGTCACCACACAGTCTGAGCACAAGTTCAAGGCCACAAGGCCAGTTCACATGCAAGGTCACATATATATAAAGCTAAACAGGCAGGTATATATATGTAACAGTACAAGCAAGGTCAAGAAGTAAGCAAGTGAGGCAAGGTAGGTACAAGACCTAACAGAGTGCAGAAGCGCTGATGGTCACAAGGCGCGAGTGCCTTAGTGAAGATATCAGCAGTGTTGGCCTCAGAGGCCACGTAAGCAAGGCGCAGCTGACCACGCTGCTGCAGCTCACGAGCAAGAAAGTAGCGGAGAGCGATGTGCTTCGTTCTGTGCTCCAGTCTGTGCTCATGACACAAGGCCAGCATGGCCTTGTTGTCTACGTACAGCACTGGAGGAGAACGAGGCGGCTCTCCCAGGTCAGTCAGCAGGTAGGTGAGCCAGCGTAGCTCCTGTGCAGCCATGGCCCCTGCGTAGATCTCAGCCTCACAACTGGAGCCGAGAACAGAAGACGAGCGGGTAGACCGCCAAGAAACAGAGCCGGAACCAAGGCTGAAGGTGTAACCCTGTGACGACCGCTGCGTAGCCTGGTCGTCAGCCCAAGAAGCGTCTGCGTGACCAGTGAGGACCACTGAACTATGCCCTCCAAGCACAAGCCCCATGCCCGACGTACTGCACAAGTAGCGCAACACCCTCTTCGCTGCAGCCATGTGCTCTGGTCTGTGTCTCCCAGGAGCAACAAAGCGTGCCAGAATGCTAAGAGGGTATGCAAGGTCAGGTCGAGTGCAGGTCATCAGGTACATGAGGCAGCCGACAAGCTCTGGGTACGGGCCACTCGACTCTACGGACTCATCCGAAGGCAGAGCTGAGAGCGAGTGGCGCGTAGGCAGAGGAGTGGCCTGAGGCGAGGAGTACGTGAAGCCGAAGCGCTGAAGGACCTGCTGCACCATATGTGACTGAGTCAGGGTAATGGTGCGCTGTGCTCTGTCCCTGGTGATCTGCAAGCCAAGGTAGCTGCGCAGTTCACCCAGGTCTGTGCACGTGTGTCTCTTCTGCAGCTCGGACTTCACGTAGGCAAGTCCAGCAGTGTCAGCTGTAGCAAAGACCAAGTCTTCGACGTACACGAGGATGTAGAACGGCGGCAAAGAAGTGTCGGTGCGCAGAAACAGCGACGGGTCGGCAGTAGAAGGAGCAAACCCAAGGGCCGCAAGTGTAGTCCTCAGTGTGTCGTGCCACTCACGAGGCGCCTGGCGGAGACCGTAGACTGGCCGCCGGAGGCTCCACTGGGTGCCAGGAGGAAACGTCCCAGTGAAGCCAGGTGGGCGGCGCAGCCAGATCTCCTCGTGAAGGCTGCCCTGCAAGAAAGCAGTGCTGAAGTCAAGAGAGTGCAGCTCGTAGTCTCGGTGAGCAGCTATGTGCAGAGTGGTCATCTTCGGGGTGGGGGAGAAAGTCTGAAAGTAGTCAACTCCCTGCCGCTGACTGAAACCACGAGCCACGTAACGCGCCTTGAAGACAGGCGGAGAACCCGGCGGCCGCTTCACCCTGAAAATCCACATGCCACTGACGATGTTCGCCCCAGGCGGGGGAACCTCGTCAACGTAGGTGCCTGTGGACTTCCAGGAAGCCATCTCTGCGTCCATGGCTGCCTGCCACTGAGAGGAGTAGGGACCCTCTATCGCCTCCGCGTAAGAGCGCGGAGTCGGGATGTCAAGTGCATCCGGGTCTCCCTCAGGGGCAAGCAGCATGGACACGAAATGAGGTGAAACAGCAGCCAAGCACTGGAACTCCTCCTGCCTGTCCTCTAGGACGTCCGTGCCAAGAGCACACTCACCCCCGACGGACGGAGGACAGACAGACTCAGACTCAGCGACGAGACTGGTAGCGTAGTCTAGGCGACAGCGAGCAGCGAAGTCGACAAGCTCAGCAACTAGGGCAGACGCAGCAGTAGACTCAAAGGAAGGGTCAGTGACGACAGTAGCAAGGAGACGTGTGACAGTAGGACGCGCAGCACGAAGGGAGTCCGACTCCGGGTCAGGAAGCTCAGGAAGAGAGGACGCTGGAGGAGAGGGCAAAGGGGCACGCAGCGGAGCAGTGGAAGGACGCAGAGACATCCGGTGCGTGCCGGGGACAGGGGGAGGACGCTGACGCGAACCACGACCACTAGTGCGAGCAGCACGGACAGGCGACGCAGGGCGAGACGCAGGCTCACGACGCTCAGCAAGACCTCCAGTAGGACCAGTGTAGGGAGAAGGAGAAGGAAGCGGGGAAGGTGGCTGTAACTGTGACTCAGACTGGACAGGAGGCGGACACTCTAAGGCAGGAGCAGGACCAAGAGAGGACGGAAGACCAAGAACCTGCTCAAGGAGCGGAACGAAGTACGGCCGCGGCCGCGCAGCTCCACCAGTGCCAGCAGGAACAGCACCAGCGCCCCCAGCGGGAGCACCAGCACCAGGAAGACCCGCAACTCCAGCAGCTCCAACTCCAGCACCCCCAGCAGCACCAGCGCCAGGAGCACCCCCAGCGCCAACACCCCCAGTAGCTCCAGCTCCAGCCGGACCACCCGAAGACGCAGCAGCTCCAGCTCCAGGAGCTCCAGCAGCACCAACGCCAGTAGCACCAGCAGCACCAGCAGCACCAGCAGCACCAGCAGCTCCAGCAGCACCAGCAGCTCCAGCGCCAGCAACACCAGCAGCACCACCAGCTCCAGCAGCACGTCGCCAGCGCCGGGCGAACCACTCACGCAGCTCCTGTGGAGAGAGCAGCTCCCGCCGGGACGAAGCACCGGAGGAACCGCCAGGCTCAGCACCACCAGACGCCGGACGAGCAGGTCCAGCACTCTCAGGCTCCGCACTCCGAGACTCAGCACCCCCAGGCTCAGCACCCCCAGGCGCAGCACCCCCAGGCGCAGCACCCCCAGGCTCAGCACCCCCAGGCTCAGCACCCCCAGGCTCAGCACCCCCAGTCGCAGCACCCCCAGACCCAGCACCCCCAGTCGCAGCACCCCCAGACCCAGCACCCCCAGGCTCAGCACCACCAGCAGTACCAGAGTCAACAGCTACCTCGACTGGCTCAACTGCATCTACCTGGGACACACCTGAGGGAGCAGGACCCTGAGGGGGGAGGGGGTCTACCGGAGGGGGGCCTGGTGTAAGGAAGAGCGACGGGGAAGGGAGGGACGCAGTGCGGTAGGGGAAGAGACGGTAGTAGGGAACCGACTCGTCAAAGGTGACGTCCTGGGACGCGAAGACACGGCGCGAGGTGGGGTGGTAGAACTGCCAGCCTGGCGCGTCAGGGGGAAAGCCAAGGAAGACGCAGGGAACAGCACGAGAGGACAGCTTGTCCGCAGACAAGTCGCGGACAAACGCCCTAGATCCCCAGACCCGAAAACGCGACGCATCACCAACCTTCCCCGTCCACAGCAAAGCAGGGGAGGTCTCCGGCATGGAGACCCTGGGGTGGAGGTTGAGCTGATGCGCCGCGTACCGAACCGCAAACGGCCACAGAAAATGGGGAGCAGCCGCATGGATCATGGACGTACGAGCGACGTCCATGACCATGCCGATGCGGCGCTCAGCAATCCCATTCTGCTGCGGAGAGTCCGGAAGCGTGAAGGTCTGGCGGATGCCTCGTGTGCGACAGAAGGTCTGCAGAAGGTCAGAGGAGAACTCTCCGCCTCGGTCGGAGTGCAGACGCCGAACAGGAAAGTCGGAGCCGAAACTCTCCTGGAGCTGGAGACGAGCCGCGCGGATCCAGGCGATCAACACCTCAGTGACGTCACCCTTGCTGCGCAAGGGGAAGACTGCGGTGTAACGCGAGTAGTCGTCAACCACCAGCAGGAAGTAGCGCTCCTGACCCTGCCCACGGACGCGGGCTGGGCCCCACACGTCCATGTGAAGCGTCTGCAGCGGAGCCTCTGTCGGAGGAAACTCGGAGGAGTGAGGAGCAGCGCGCTGCCGCCCCTCGACGCAGGGAACGCAGGTGGGGGCAGGCCCCGGAGGAAGAGGAGGGAGGGACCGGGGGAGACCAGAAACAAGAAGACGGGAAGCCATGCCTCGAAGGCGAGGCAGGGAGGGGTGACCAAGACGGTGGTGCCAGAGGAGAGTCCGGTGAGACAGGAGACGACACGAGCAGGGGGCAGACTCAGGACCAGACCTGGACGCCGCAGCAAACACCTGACCCGACGCGGCTACCTGAGCAGACTCAGTGACTGGGGAAGACTCAGTAGTCAGTGTGTACAGGCTCGACCCTGGCCGACGAGCAAACGTGGCCAAGTGGCGGCCCGTGTCCGCACAAGTGCAGTGGGTCACCCGCTGACGCGCAGGGGTGAACTGGTCAACTCCTGCATCCTGGAGGTCAGCACCCGCCACCAAGTTCGTAGAGAACGAGGGGAGGTAGAGACCCGACAGGGAGCCAGACGGGACCGCTGGACACGGTAGGACAGTGGAGTAGTGAGCAAGGACAGGACCCCCAGAGGGGTCCGCTAGGGAGACCGCAACAGGCCGACTGAGCGGTGTGAGAGTGGTGCAGTCTCGAAAGAAGGAGCGGGAAGCACCCGAGTCAAGGGTGAAGGTGTGGGTGTCCGGGGGCGACGCAGCACCTGAGAGCGCAAACTCACCGGCACCTGGGGCAGCAGACGCACTGGCACCTAGAGCAGCAGCCTCACAAGTACCTAGCGCAGCAGCCTCTATGCCTGGGTCAGGCGGGAAACACCGGTAACAGTCACCCTCATCACTAATAGTCACAGCATACATGGCAGCAAGAATAGCATCAAAGTCAAGATCATAGATTGCAACACCCGCCCTAGACAGCTCGCCCCAGCGAGGGATCTCCGTAGCGTCGGGGAACTGGTGGCGCCACGCGTCTGTCAGCCGACCGAAGCAGCGCTGGGTGGGGTGCGGGCCTCCACACTGCTCACCCGCCCGGTCGCCGGTACGGAGAACGTAGGTGCAGGGGCCAGCACCCCCACCCCGCTGACGAGCAGCGTACCACTCACGAAGCTGCTGGGGGGAAGGGGTCTCACGGGTACGCTGCTGCTGCTGCTGCTGGCGCGCACCACCACCGGAGCCACCCCTCTGCGCAGCGCCACCCCGACCAGCTCCGCCGCCTCCGCCGCTACCTCCTCCACTACCGCCACCTCCGCCACCTCCGCTCCCACCGCCACCGCCGCCTCCACCTCCACCTCCAGTCCCGCCACCGACGCCCCCACCCCCGCCACCACCCCCACCGCCACCCCCACCCCCTCCACCACCTCCACCTCCGCCTCCACCGCCCCCTCCAGCCCCTCCAGCACCCTTGCCCCCCTTGCCCTTGCCAGGGCGGCGTCTCCCGCTAGGGGCAGACGCCGCAGCGACCGACTCAAGACCAACGAGGTCGGCCGCAGCAGCAGAGGCAACAGAGGGCAAGAGGGGAGAGGGGGAGCACCCCTCAAAGACAGGGGTACGAGGGTCACCACGAGAGGCACCTACTGCGACTATGCTCTTCTCTGCCGCGAGCAGGCGCTCCTCGAGGAGGTCAACGGTGAGGGTGGTGGGGCAAACAGAGAGGAAGTGGTCCCTAACCGGGCGAAGGGTGTCAGGGAGCCGGGTGACTATGTAGTAGAGGGTGATGTACATGTAGAACTCAGCAGGAAGCGCAGCGCGGTAGCGTGTCAAACATTATATGTTTATATGATTATAGACTGTAGTGGGTGATACCTTAGGGGGTACACTGGATTAGGGTTTCCTATTTGTATCCATCCTTCTGTTAGTACAGTCATTCCAGTCCGTTATTTGTGACATGGTTTCAGAGCAGGTCCTTCGCTAGGACCGTTCTTAGGGCCCACCGTTACCTACATACCTACCTACCTACTGTGCGCCTCGTGCGCCTACGCGCCCTCGTGCGCCTCCTACCTACCGCGCGCGCGCAGCCCGCCAGCCGCCCGCGCGCGACTCGACTTTTTTTTTTTTAGCGCGCGTATCCCGCTACCCGCCCGCGCGCGGTCGATTTCGCTGCGCGCGCCCCGCTAGCCGCACGCGCGCGGCTGTTTTCTTTACGCGCGGCCCCGCACGCTGCCCGCGCGCTGCCTGTGCGCCTCGCTGACGCGCCCGCTGCTGCAGCCGCCCGTCGCCCGCTCGCGCACACCCCGCCGTGGCCCCGCAGGCCCGCAGCTCGCCGCCGCAGCTGCCGCACGCCCGTTGCCCGCAGCCGCCCGTCCGCCGACGCCGCTGCCGCCCGTGCACCGACGCCGCTGCCACCCGTGCGCTGCTGCCGCTGCTGCTTGCGCACCGCTCGCTGCTGCAGCCGCCCGTGCGCTGTCGGCGCTGCTGCCCGTGCGCATAAGCCGCTGCCGCCCGTGCGCCTTTGCAGCCGCCGCCCGCGAGTCGCCCGCTACCGCTAGTGCGCCGCAGGCCCGCAGCCGCTGCCGCTCGCGCACGCCCCGCAGGCCCGCAGCCCGCCGTCGCAGCGGCCGCCCGCCCGCAGCCGCTCGTCGCCTCCTTGCACACGCCCCGCTGCCCGCAACCGCTCGTACGCCGCTGCTTCCCCTACTGCTTGCGCACCGCTGCCTCCCGAGCGCCACCGTTCCCCGTGCGCCGTGACTGTCCGTGCGCTTCTGCAGCCGCTGCCCGCGAGGCACTCGATCTCACTGCTGTTTATTTTCTACCTACCACGCTTCCTACTACTACTGTCACTATGGCTAGTCCGCCAGTTCTAGCTTTCGATGCCGAGGGCCGTCCAGTGAAGTTCGAAACCTGGCTCGATGACCTGCACCTGTTCCTACAGCTCACTGCCAAGGAAGATATCTCACTGTACGACCATGCCCTAGGCCATGCCACTGCCCCTGACTCGTCTGCTGACAGCACTCTGCGTTCCCAGTGGCAGACCCGTGATGCGCACGCTCGCTTTGCTATTCGCAACTCCCTGCCGCTAGACGAGCGCGAGCACTTCGGCCAGTGCAAGACTGCTAAGGACCTCTACACCGCTGTAGTTGCCCGCTACTCCTCACCCGCTTCTGCCACGCTAGGCCGCCTCACTCTCCCCTACCTGTTCCCCGACCTAGCCTCCTTTCACACTGTCGCAGACCTCATCACCCACCTTAAGACTAGTGAGGCCCGCTTTCGCGCTGCTATGCCTGCCGAGTTTCTCACTAGCAACCCCCCCCCGCTCTGGATCACTCTCTACCACATCGTCACCCGCCTCCCTGACTCTCTGCGCGCAGTCAGGGACCACTTCCTCTCTCGCTCCCCCACTGAGCTCACTGTTGCCCTCCTCGAGAAGGAACTGCTTGCAGCTGAGGCGAGCATCGTCGCTGTAGGCACCTCTCGTGGCGACCCCCGCACCCCGTTCTTTGAGGGGTGTTCCCCTTCCCCCCTCCTCCCCTCTGTCGCCTCTGCTGCTGCTGTCGACCTTCTTGGTGCTGAGAAGGTCGGGACCGCGTCTGCTTCGAGCGGGCGCCGCAGGAACAAGGGGGGCAGGGGTGGGGGTGGTGGCGGAGGAGGTGGGGGTGGAGGCGGTGGGAGTGGAGGCGCGGCTGGGGAGACTAGTGGCGGCAGTGGGGGAGGAGACAGCAGCGGTGGGAGTGGTGGCGGAGGCGGCAGCGGAGGCGGAGGTGGTCGTGGCGGCGGCAGGGGTGGAGGTGGCCGGGGAGGCGGCGGTGGGGGTGGTGGTCGTGGAGGCACTGGCGGAGGGCAGAGTCAGCAGCCCGCCCCGACGCTTCAGGCCGCCCGTGAGTGGTATGCGCAGCGTAGCGTTACCTGCACGTACGTCATTCGCACAGGTGACCGCAGCGGCCAGCAGTGTGGGAGGCCGCACCCCACGCAGCGCTGCTTCGCGCGCCTTAACGACGCGTGGCGCACTCAGTTTCCTGCTGCCACTGAGCTGCCGCGCTGGGCTGATCTGGAATAGAGGGGTGTTGATATTTGGGCTCTAGACTTTGATGCTATTCTCACTGCCATGTATGCGATGTCTATTAGTGGAGAGGGTGCTCAGTACTTGCGTGTTCCGCCCGACCCGGGCATTCAGGCCAGTCCGGCTGCCGCTCTAGGTGCTAGTGCGTCTGCTCCCACAGGTCCTGGTGAGGCTGCAGCCCTAGGTGCTCGTGCGTCCGTGCCCCCTGGTACTGAGTCGACTGCAGCACTGCACACCTTCACACTGGACTCAGGTGCTTCTCGCTCCTTCTTTCGTGACCGCACTGTCCTTGAGCCACTCGCTCGGCCAGTTGCTGTCTCCCTTGCTGACCCCTCTGGGGGTCCGGTCATTGCGACCTCCTCCACTGTCCTTCCTTGTCCGGCGGTCCCGTCCGGCACGCTGTCAGGTCTCTACCTCCCCTCGTTCTCTACGAACTTGGTAGCGGGTAGTGCGCTCCAGGACGGGGGTGTTCACCAATTCACCCCTGCCTACGAGCGCGTGACACACTGCACGTGTGCTCGGACGGGTCGCCACCTGGCTACCTTCACTCGGGAGCCGGGGTCGGACCTTTACACACTGACCACTGACTCCCCTCAGGTAGCTGCGTCCGCGTCTGCGTCTGCGTCAGGTCAGCTGTCCGCCCCCTGCTCGTGTCGCTCTCTGGCGCATGAGACTGTCCTTTGGCACCACCGCCTTGGTCACCCGTCTGTGCAGCGCCTTCGGGCCATGCACAAACGGGACCTTGTTGCTGGTCTTCCCAGGGTGCTCCCTCCCCTTCCCGACTCGCCTGCTCCTCCCTGTATTCCCTGTGTCGAGGGACGGCAGCGCGCCGCTCCTCACTCCTCCTCCTTTCCCCCGACGACTGCTCCCTTGCAGACGCTCCACATGGACGTGTGGGGCCCAGCCCGCGTCCGTGGTCAGGGTCAGGAGAGGTACTTCCTGATTGTTGTTGACGACTTCTCGCGCTACACCACGGTCTTCCCCTTGCGCACCAAGGGTGACGTCCCTGATGTCTTGATCCCTTGGATCCGCAGATCTCGTCTCCAGCTCCGTGAGCGTTTCCGCTCCGACTTCCCTGTCCTGCGTCTGCACTCTGACAGAGGTGGAGAGTTTTCCTCTGGCCTCTTGGAGGCCTTCTGTCAGCAGGAGGGCATTGAGCAGTCGTTCACGCTTCCGGCCTCTCCACAGCAGAATGGGGTTGCTGAGCGCCGCATTGGCTTGGTCATGGAGGTCGCTCGTACCTCCTTGAGCCATGCGGCTGCCCCCCACTTTCTGTGGCCGTTTGCAGTCCGATACGCTGCGCATCAGCTCAACCTCTGGCCCCGTGTCTCCTTGCCCGAGACTTCTCCGACACTGCGTTGGACGGGAGAGGCTGGCGATGCGTCACGTTTTCGGGTCTGGGGATCCCGAGCTTTTGTCCGCGACACGTCCGCGGACAAGCTCTCCCGTCGCGCTGTCCCCTGTGTCTTCCTTGGCTTTGTCCCGGACGCCCCTGGTTGGCAGTTCTACCACCCCACCTCGCGGCGTGTCCTGGCCTCTCAGGACGTCACTTTTGACGAGTCCGTCCCCTACTACCACCTCTTCCCCTACCGCACTGCCCCGCTCCCCCCCCCGCCTCTCTTCCTCGCTCCAGGTGCAGAGGTACCAGACCCCCTCCCCCCTCAGGGTGCCGCTCCCTCAGGTGTGTCCCAAGTAGACCCGGGTGAGCCTGTCGAGGTAGCTGTTGACTCTCGTCCTGCTAGGGGTGCTGAGCCTGGGGGTGCTGCATCTGGGGGTGCTGAGCCTGGGGGTGCTGCGTCTGGGGGTGCTGAGCCTGGGAGTGCTGAGTCTGGGGGTGCGGAGCCTGGGGGTGCTGAGCCAGGAGGTGCGGAGCCTGGAGGTGCGGAGCCTGGAGGTGCTGAGTCTGGGGGTGCTGAGCCTGAGCGTGCTACACCTGGAGGAGCCCTCTCCTCCCAGCAGCTGCAGGAGAGGTACCTCGAGTACTGCCGCCTCCGGAGAGGTGCTGCTGGAGCTCGTCCCGGTACTTCCCCTCCTACCCAGGAGCTCCCCCCCATTCAGCAGATCCGCGAGTGGTACACACGGCGCTGCAGTCTTCGGAGTGGTGCTCCTGGTGCTGCGGACCCTGGGGGTGGCGCTGCTGCTGGTGCTGAGGACCCGGACGTTGGAGCTGCTGCTGGTGCTGCGGACCCGCCTGGTGGAGCTGCTGCTGGAGCTGGGGACCCGGCCGGTGGAGCTGCTGCTGGTGCTGAGGACCCGGACGGTGGAGCTGCTGCTGGTGCTGAGGACTCGGACGGTGGAGCTGCTGCTGGAGCTGAGGACCCGAGCGGTGGCGCTGCTGCTGCTGCTGAGGACCCGGGCGTTGGAGCTACTACTGGTGCTGAGGACCCGGCCGGTGGAGCTGCTACTGGTGCTGTGGACCCGGACGCTGGAGCTCCTACTGGTACTGAGGACCCGGCCGCTGGAGTCTCCTCTGCTTCTGGAGACGCTGCGCGGCCGCGACCGTACTTCGTACCGCTCCTTCAGCAGGTTCTTGGGCAGGCTCCTCCTCCTTGTCCTCCTCCCTCTGTAGAGTGTCCTCCGCCTGTCCAGCCGCAGTCACAGTTACCGCCTACCTCGCCTCTCCCTGCTCCCTCTCCTTACACTGGTCCCACAGGAGGTCTTACAGAGCGTCGTGAGCCTGAGTCTCGTCCTGCGTCGCCTGTTCGTCCTGCTCGCACTGGTAGTCGTG